GGTTGTTTGTAACTCACAGAGAGGGAGGCTAGGCGTCAGTTTTGGGGAGGATGGTGACCAGTGGTCCAGGCAGAAGGTGCAGGTCCGGTTGGTGATATCCGATGCTGGTGTCAGAGGGTGAACAGGCAGTTGTGCTCAGGCAGGAAGGCTTTAAGCAATTCAGAGCCTCACGGGTTCCTGAAGGCTGACTCAAAGTGTCTCTGGCAGGAGTCCAGAGTGAAGAGATTTTTGCGTAGTGGTTTCGGGCTTGGGATCCAGGGTTCTGTGAAGGAGCAAACAGAGAGCGGGGTTAGGATCTGGGTAAATTTAAGAAGCAAGGCTTAGTTAAGGATCAGTTTGTACCACGCAGAAGCATTAACGAACTGACACCCTCCTCCTGGTCGCAGCTCCTTAAGAAGGGTGGTAATCAGCTAGATGAAGAGCACCTGCCCGTCCAGCCCTGCTGAGGAGAAAGAAAGAAAGCTGGCTGGTTGATACTGATTGTCAAACATACTTAAGGATTTCTGAGTGACAGTAGCCAGGCAGCGAGGAGATTTTCCTAATGAGTCGAGAAGGAAAAGTGATTATTCATTCATCTTATGCCAAACTCATGCTGTGGTTTGTGGACTTTGTGTTTCATAGTCCTTCACAACAGCTATTTTCCCCCGTACCAACATTTGTTAAAAGAAAAGTCTGGTCATATTCAGAATTCAAACTTCTGAAAGTATTTTACATATAAAATTTTTACATGCTGTTCAAGAAATTATACAGTAGGTGTTTTTAATTAAGAGTAATTTCATTTGAATGTGCTTTACTGAAGACATCCATGTTTGTCTAAGAACACTCCTGCCACCTACCGGTTTGTGACGTCACAGTGCGGTATCGGCTGTTGAGCAAGTCCGAATGCTGTATCTGGTGTTTGTCACAATGCGCTATTAACAAAGTCATCTTGAAAACATTCTTCTTCAAATGTTGGCTACATATGACATGTTTTTTTGTCTGGCCATAAGTTCAATGGCAAATCCTCCCTCTTCAAGTTGGCAATCTGACGACCAACCCCGTCCGTGGAAGATCATGAATCGGATAGGTGAAATAGCTCTTTTATTTTTTTTTTTCACTTTTACCTGATGTGTTACAACATCCAACTGCCATGCACCTGGGCATTGTCAGTTTAACTATAGCTCTGGTGACTTTAAATGGTGAAGTCCTCTCGACAACTTAAATAACTGTTGTTGATTGCAGATGTGTCTCATAGTTCCCTTTGATTTTGCTTGTAAAGCGGGGAGAATGGCGTTAGGCTTCCCGGACGTGACGTCACTGCCGGAAGATGTCAGGAGTGAGGTGTTACTATATTTGGGCAAAAATGGCTGGTCCAGGACTCAGTGATAGCGATGAAAATTATAGTTTATATTTTTTTACTGATTAATGCTAAATTCAATAAATCACAACGAACATATTAGTTTTAGGTATAGATAATGATCCATTGATCATTCTTTACTGACTGGAATTTTTCCTTTAATGCAATTAGTGGTGTTTGGTTTCAATTAACACCATTGAGCCTTCCCTGTTTCAGGGAGCAGCAGCGCCGCTGTTTTGCATGTTCTCAATCTCCCAAGACTGGCAAAGTTTCTTTAAGAAGGGACAAAATGTTTCAACCAAGCAAAATCCATCCAGAAGACTTATTCCACTTTTTTTTGGATTGGCCATTTTCTCTATATATTTTTTTTAACTCTTATTAAATCATTATTATTACATTTGTCCTAGATAAAAAAATCAAGATGAGACATTATTACATAGTGTGCAGCCATGATTGATTGATTGATTGACTGACTTTATTGATCTCACAGTGGAGAAATATATACAGTGTGTCCATATAGGAAAGCTTTTCCTTTTTTTATAGGATTATAATATAGGGTTATTGCACAGGTTGTTTACACTGGTATTTATAAAGATGGATATTTATATATATAGTTATTGCACTTTGTGTCAAATATAGAGCACAGGTTATTGCACAGGGTATGAATTAGTAATTACACATTATACTTTGCACAAGTTATTGCTGTTGTAGTGGCGCATTGTAGAGTCTGGTTGCAGAAGGGATGAATGACCTGCAGTTGTGCTCCTTTTTACATACTAGGTGTAAAAGTCTTTCACTAATGGAGCTTCTCAGCTCCTCTACAGTCTGGTGCAGAGGGTAGAAGGAGTTATCCTGGATGGATGTAAGCTTGGACAGCACCCTCCTCTCAGCCACTTCCTCCACTAAGTCTAGAGTGAAGCATAGTACAGAAGCGGCCTTTCTCAGCAGTTTGTCCAGTCTTTTTCTGTCCCAATACAACATAACATATAAGGAAATTACAGCAGCAGGCGGGGAGCTAAAGAGGTCCTTAAGTTCTAACCTTCTTTAATATCATGGGATTTCTGATTTTTTTTTTCATGCCTAATCTCATATCTTTTCATTATTATAATGGTCTGCATCGCTTTCTGCACCTAATATACTGGTTAACTTCACTGAAGTCAAGCCACCCTTCACTTCCAATACCTCACTGGGTTTTTATAGATTACACATACACCAAATACCAAGTCCAATTAAGTACAAACACTTTGGCACTTTGGTATTTTAACAATAGCAGGACCATTACATACCCAGCGGTACCTAATTTCTCATCGAAGGAGGCAATATCCATTCTGATGCCAGCTACTGATCTGATCAGTGATAGGCTGGCACCCACGAATGAGATGCCAGAAATATTAAGTAAGAGGAGGGTAGCAATCGCTTGGCAGCCATGGGTATGAGAGGACCATATGGATTCGAAGGCCTGGAACGGCTGTGACTAGCTGGGGACTGAGTGGGCTCTTCAGCGTGTTGGCTAACTACTATGGTGTCTGTGGGGATGCTGTTTTTTGCCTGCCCCCTTCCCACACTTGATGGTCTAGGGATCTCCTCCTGGGTTTGTGGGCCAGTTCCCACTAGGGGAGGGGTCGGCTCCCTTGCGGCCACCTGGAACTTTTTCAAATATTTATGAAAATGGAAAAAAATAGATTTTTGTTTGTTTGTTTGTTTGTTTGTTTGTTTTAATATGGAATGCTGGATGTCAAACAAACATTGATTATGAAGTGTTGTAAAAATTTGTATAATAAATATATTTAAACAATAATTGTAAGCAGGGCCTGCCTCCTCCCCCTTCTTTTGCTCCCTGCCAGTGGCAGGTCCCAGTGTCTACTGGCATACTGATGGTTCTTTAGGTGCAGAGTTGGACTTCAGTGGAGGTCACATTCCTGGTGGCTGCTGGGCCTCCTGGCCCTGTGAGGTCCCCACTAGTTGGAGATGGGCCCCCGAACCTCGGGGCTCTCAACCGGGTCCACCTTAGGCTTCTGTGGCCCTGTGGAGCCTCAGCGTTACGATCTGGCCAATCAGGAATTGGGCCTCTTTGGGGTTTGGCCCCTCAGGCATCAGGCTCTGAGTGCTTACCTCTGCCCTTCTCCATTGGGTGCGCCCATCCCTATGTCTTCCCTCCTTGTTTCCTAGTAATCTGGGGTGCCTCTGGAAATCTGGGGCTCATTTTGCCTCTTTTTCTACTCAGGGTCCTGTAGAGTGAGTCCTGGGCCCCCCACAAATACTATTAAGCATATTTTTGCTTCTGAAGAAACTTTGCAAATTCTTTTATATGTGAGCATGTCCATGCATATATACCATGGGAGTTTGGTTCCAGGTGTTCACGGTTACACTATAACAAGAAGTTGCCTCAGTATTGAAGCCTTCAAATCAGGAATTGCCTAAAGGGCTATTCCACCACTTTTCTCACTAATTTAGGTGTGTGTAATTCGCTTTAGTTTGAAGGATACAGTACTTTCACTCATCATAAATGGATTATATTATTCTAGACTAATTGGAGACTACAATGAACACAGTTTGGGATTAGTTAAACCTTTACCTCCTTTGTAAAAATTTTATAAGTCCACATTTTAATCCTTTTTTGCCGTAGGACCAAAACAGAACCACCCAGTTCAAAAAGCAGTACTTAGACTTTTTAAGAAGAGATATTATCCTAAACTATTAACAAAATGTCTAAAACCCAGTTTGGGATTTGTGGAAACTTTATATAACTTATAAAAGTTCAGTAAAGGGACACACAAGTCCTTTTTTCCCTTTGCAATTGTTTGTTTCTTTATTCTCCACCTTGTAAACAAAGTAGAGAGACATGAATTGTGATGCACAAGAGCTGAAATGGAGCATAGGAAAACCACAATAAAAAAAATATGTATTTATTTATTTCATTGTAAATTACCCATATCAACACAGAGAAAGATCATGCTTTATGTCATGATCTTGCCACTGGTGCCAACAATGTAAAATAATATAGCACTGGGTTTTTTGAGCTGGAGCATTTCTGATGTGGTGAAGATTGTCATCAGCCTCTCCAAAGCTAATGCAGATGATTTCTCTTCCTATTTGTTACTAGCTCCGGCATCTCATTTGCTACTTCAGTTACCGGTGCCAGCCTATCATTGATATGATCAGTTGCTATCATTGGAATGGATATAGCCTCCTTAGATTAATATACATTTTGATATGCTTTAATTTGTCCTGTCAGGGTTAGAAGTATCTACGTTTTTAGTAAAGCAGGGGTATCTCTGGCCTTATATATCCCTGGGCTTATACTATTAATCTTAACCATAAACATACATACTGAGGGCAAAAACACAGAACGATATATAGCTGGCGTCAAAAAAAATCATAATTTGTGATATACTGTGATATGTTAGCCTAACCTTTTTTCATATGATGCCTTATAGATGGTGATTTTGGATTGTTAATGTCCTTGCCTAACTCTTGTATGCTTCACAGCCCACAATGTGATCTGGCCGATGTAACATTGTCCTCTAGTCTTATTCCTTTTTCTCAAGCAGTGTGGCAAATTGTTCAACGTGTATGTGAAACATGACAACATTTTTCTAGCTGTCAGAACTTTATTAACTTAATATAGATTTAGTAGTCTATACAACTGATGTTTTCAGTGTGCTATGAAGCTTTATTAGTTCAAATTCAAATCTAATTTGAGTACAAATCTAATGTAATGACAACAATAAAACTGATATTTCAAATATCTTTAAGCCTCTTTGGAAAGGCCACGTTTGTATATCTGTAGCTTGTCTCGATCTTCTTGGTCTAATTGTTGCTGCTCCAGTTCCTGCTGGTCCCGGTCCTGCTGGTCCCGGGCCTGCTGGTCCAGGTCCTGCTGGTCTCGGTCCTGCTGGTCCAGGTCCTCCTGGTCCAGGTCCTGCTGGTCCAGGTCCTGCTGGTCCAGGTCCTGCTTGTCCAGGTCCTGCTGGTCCAATTGCTGCTGGTTCGCTAGGTCAAGTTTTCCATGCCTATGAATAAGGCTGGTAGAAGAAAAAGAAAATTCACAATACAATATAACAGGATATTTGACTTTGTTATCAATAAAATCATTTCATTATTACTAATTTTAATTCGTTATACCAACACATTTGAAAATGATTGAGAAAAAGTTGATCCAAGTTTTTACCTGCTAATACCATGAATAGCACTACCAATTCCCTTTATAAGCATTCCAAAAAAGCACTCTCCTGGTTGTGCCATCAGGACAACCATGGTCAAGGTGAGAAAAAGTGCCATACACTTCATCCTGAAAAAGCGATCACAGCGCACACATTAATGATTTCTTCCTCATGTCTGTGAAATGATGCACAGTTTTCTTTTTTAGGTAAATTTAATACAAATTTGGTACAAACAACTTATTCCTTAAACTCTCGAATGAAATTAACTGAGCACATAAAACAAAGTCCTTACCTTAGACTGATCAAATGTCCTTGACTGATCAAAATGCTCTTCAATGGCAAGGGGACTCTCTCAAATTATTGTAAACTGTTTCCTGGTAGAATGCTGCACCAAGGTATATATGTACAGGACTAAGTCATTATCATATTGGGAAACATCTTATGATTTAGCAGAAAAAGGTAACCATAAGGTCTTGCATTTTAGCCACAGAGTATGTAGCTTTAATCTTATCTACATGGTAGTTATGTTTGTATGGCTATAGGGAAGCTGCTGAAATCAATTATAGCAGCCTGTGGGTTGCTCATTGTATCAGTTCTTGGACCTTTAATACTTGTAGCTGGTTTGTGCAAATCACTCACAAGGCACAGAAAACAGGTAAGAGACCCAAAAACACACTATGACAGGCCTGATAGGGTTCAGGCAGGCTCAGAGAATAAGGAGGAAGATTCTGGCAAGAATCAGGCAGGCAGGTAGGTTTTCAGGCATGCTGGATAAAGCTCAAGGATGGATTGTAATAAGTTGGCTCTAGTGACTGGTCTGAGAGCTGGATATGTAGTCAGGTAAGCAGGTGAATCTGATAGAGGCTGATTGGAAAACAGGGCGGAGCTAACTGGTGTGTTGAAGCCTGAACCATTACAACACTAGTGCCAATAATCATGAGGGAAGAAATGTAAAATATTGGAAAAAAAAAAAAAGCCAGAAAGGACTGCCGGCAGACAATTAATACAATGCATTTCCATAAATATCATAAAAAGTTTTAAAATTTACAAACTAGACTTACAATATTCTAATGATAGTATAGAACAAGGCAGTTAAGGTTTGAAAAGTCTAATGCAGTTTTTGAGCTGGATCAGTTTAAATGCAATCAAAGTGCAAAAAGATCTATCAAACTAGGTATTTAATTACCTTTAAAAAGTCCAATAAAGTGTTCAAAAATCAATCACATGGGCTGACGTTTTCTTTTTTCAGTATAGAACAATATAGTCCAGGAGTGAAGAGTGTAGCTGCTGCAGTTTTTAAACTGGACCAGTTTGGAAGTGATCAAAATGCAAAAAAAAGGTAAAATAGATATAGATATATTTTTAGGCCTTAGGCTTTGATGAATAATTATGCCAACTTTAATGTTTCTATAAAAATCCATGAGGCCACAGTGTAGATGAATAAAGGGGGTCAAGAGATTTCAGCCTGAGTCATTTTCGGTTAAAGACAGTTTTGATAGTCTCAAACAACCCAATTGCATGGCCAAACCATAAATGATATCAAAATAATTCCTTTATTGGGAACGCTTAAAGGATTGTAGGTGATCTTTATCAAGCCTCATGCTTGTACATCAAATGGTTTAGGAGAGGCAGCAATCCCAAAACGTGTTGTTTAGGAATTCCAGCTCTGATTTTGGGAACCAGATGATTTCTAAAGAGGGAGTGTGCTCTTCTTGATTGGCTAGGACAGATTGCTGGAAAACTGTAAATCCCACAATAATAAGGGTTAGATTTTGAGAATACCTACAAAAATTCCTACATTATAATGAATATTATTTCTCAATAGAGAAAATATTGAGTGCGCGAAGAATTTATTTCCCAAGAGTAAAATGTTTACAAACATAAGTAGCAGCATAAAAATGCTGCGATTATAACACCAAAATCAGGACAGAAACAGTTAAACAGTTTGAAGCATCGCTGTAGCAAAACTATCAAATATATCAAAAACCTAATTAAAGCAGTTATAGTAGAAGGTTGTGAAAGTTGAATGGTGTTTGTAGGTGAAAGTATGCGGAACTATTTAAGGGCAAAGCAGCAGAATATAAGAGCCAAACTGGCAGAGCTACTCCAACATGCAGCCACCTTAAGTAGCGCAAGTAGGCATTTAATGTCCTCCTCTGTATTGTTACAGATCAGAAAAAAAAAAAATATATATATATATATATATATATCATACATTTTTTTTATTTCTAATGCTTTTTATAAATTTTTGTTGCACTTCTATGTTGCAGTTTAAACAATTAACTGCTTGTTTAAGTAATACAAAAAAATACACAACCATTTGTGTATTTTTTTTCATGACTGCTTTGTCATAAGACTGCATATCATCAGTTTGATTAGTTTTTTTTTTTTTTCATGCTATTCACTATGTCAAACGTTTTGATGGGAAAACGTTGAACGATATGTCTCTGGCAGCACACAAAGCACATTGTTTGTGTCTGGGTTATTTTGTTATGTTTGACTTTTTTTTCCCATAACACGATGCATGGTCAATGGGCTTTCTTGATGGATTTCACCACGTTCATGTAAACCCACTGCTTTAGCTTAGAATAAAATAAGTTTAATCTAATATAAAATGAAATCATTAAATTTGTGTTGGATTACTCTTTGGCTCAAGAAAAAAATATTTTAAAATGAAATTTAATAATTGAAAATAAGTATTTTTTTTATTAAAGAAACATACATTGTCAGAGCAGATTATTTCAGTTTCAAACAACTACATTCCTTTTAATTTTAGTAAAATTCCTTCATATAATAAATCCTTTAGTTATACAAATATAGATTCAGTATGAACAATTTCAATTCTGTTTTATTTTGCATATGGTTCCCTTCGTCTGGCATGCACAACCACTAGCTGCGTTGGTGGTAGTAGCCTGGTGAGCCACTGACTTACAAAGGGGCGTAAGTAAGTCCAGAAAGGCTGAAGACAATCAGGTCTCAAACATACTGGACCAATCACAATGTGGAAAGTGAGAATTTAGGTCCATAATGCAACATCTCTTTTCTGTAGCTATAACAGTCAAGATTGAAGTAGGAACAGCCTGTGAATGAGCTGGATACAGTACGGTATATTCTTTTTGAAATGTAACATTTGGCTGTTTTAAGAGGGGTTTTTTTTGCATCACATCCCTTGGTATCTGTTTGATCGTAAAATGTTTCTGCTGACCCTGGTTGTCCCGCCTTTGAAATCAGGCTCTTTTCCAAACTGATATGCCGGGAATATGGCGTAAATCATTCCGAATGGCCAGGTTAGGTGTTTTGAGAAGTGAATGCATTGGACATGATTCTTCTTATTATACTCATCACAGAATCTCACTGGCAATGATGTGAAAACTGCAAATAGCTTTAAAAAGATGTGTATTTTGAAGGTGATTAACTAATAAAGTCTGAACCAAGTCTAGTAAACTTAATAAGATGCTCTTCTGGTCTTAAACAGCTTACAAATCACCACTGACAGATTTTTCAAATTGCCCGTATCCCTGCTTTTATTTAAGTTAAAGTTAAAAAAAACAGCAGTTTAACAGCAATTTAATGTTTTTTTTCCTATGGAAGCATGTCTATCGGAGTTTGAATTGCATTGCCTACTCAGATCAATGTGTTTCTTTGATTGAAAAACACTTCCACTGACATACCTGACAAAGAATAAGTTAGAATTTGCAAGCCGAAAGAACGTATTTTGACTTTTGCATTGTACCTACATATTTGTACGGTAAATAAGATTATAACTTGGACCCCAACATGACTATCAGAGTTAAACTGCATCCTCAGAGTTTTACCTCTTCAGCTGACCTTCCCTCAGGATGAGTGCTATAATAATCTGATGTTAAATAACTGGGCTGTTTTTAGACTTTTAGAATTTGCATAATAAAGTGTGATTGGTTTTTCTTTTAACTGCAGACAGATCACTAACAGCCTGCATAGAATGGACCTGAGTGGACAGAGAAATTATGGGGCTTCTTCCTTTTGCAGCAGATTTTGTTTGCTTAGATAATTCCCTGTCACCAGTTTAGCTTTATCCAAATGGTATTTGGAGAAGCATCATCCAGGCAATCTTTTATGTAGTCTTCTAGATGTGTTAATATTAATAATGTTTAACCTAGCTAGGTGTATCCTCAATAGAAATTTTTTATACGATTACAATTATGATGTTGAAAGCTGAGTCCAGTCTTACACCACAGTCTATTATAGATTTCAATACCCAGTTTTTTCTATGTCCCATACAAAACCTGAGATCCTCAGTTAAAACTCTCTTTGCCATCTGACAATTTTTGTTTCAATCAAAAGGGAAAATAGCCTTTTATGGTAGATACAGTGATGCATTGTGTTGCACTCATGAAAACTAAGTACAGATGAAAAATGTTTCTAAAGTTTTCCATTTATTATTTAAACTTTATGTGAAAGGGTCTGCTTGGCAGTCCAAGAATCAAGAATCGGGGTTACAGATTTACAGCAATAAAATGACACATTTAATTAACTGTTTATTGTCTTTGTAACAGAAGACTAATGTACAGTCTTGAGCTCTAGAAGTAAGATTTTAAGATATTTGAATGAGATAGTTTAAAAAAGGTTAGTCCGCATCAATACTTTGAAAAACCAACAGAAACCGAGCAGCCTCATGTCGTTTGTCTAATTAAAACGATGCTGTGCAGCTCTGTGTTTCAGTGAGCGTTTTTCCAGCTCCTCCTCAAGCTGCTGGTCGAGCTGCTGCTGATCCAGAAGCATCTTTTCCATTTTCCGATCAAGCTGCTTCTGGTCCATTTTATGGTCCAGCTGCTTCTGCTCCACATTCTGGTCCAGCTGCATCTGATCCACTTCATTCTGGTCCGCTTGTTCCTTTCTTGCTCCATGGATTGCTCCATGAATCAAACTTTCAAAAAAGTAAGTAACAAGGGATTAACTAAAATCTTTTTTTTTTTTTTAACCAATGACACTTAGATGTAAAGATGAATCTAATTATAAAATTATAACAGAAAATCAGTTGGTAGTTACCTAGAAATGCCATGAATGGCATGACCAATAAGACCAAAAAATCCATCACTGGGTTGAGCCAATAGGACAACAAACGAAAACACAAGAAAGGCCGCACTAACCTTCATCCTGCAAAAAAAAAAACAAGATCCAAACAATTAAAATAGAGAATTTTTTTACAAGGTCAACAATTGTATTAAGTGGTTCAGTTCCAGTCAACTTGAACTTGAACATCTACTGATGATGTAAATGTTGCAGAGCTGTGGTTATAGAGTAGAAGTTTGACATTATCTTAGGCGTCCACTGAAAGCCTAGGCACCAGATGCACCCCGTGCCATTGCAGTCAAGTCATTTTTAGAACATTAATGAAAGTGGCTTTATGATATTTAAATATGTCAAGCATTGAGATTAAATCCCAACAGGTAATCTTAGTCTGATGGTTTAATTGTACGATCAGGAGGCAGAACAAAGCAGCAGCATTTTATTTATCTGTGGTAGCCACATGAACTACTAATAGAACTAGAGTAATATCTTTTCTTGCCCGAATAGCCCTGGTGGAGAAGGATGTACATGTTCTGTCAGCGAAATGTTAAATTTGTGAAAGATTTTTGTTTGTATTTTTATAACTGCTTTCTTCTTTACACAATGCCAGAAAAAATATTATATATTTGATCATATATATATATTATAATTATAATATATATATATGATCAAATATATAATATTTTTTCTGGCATTGTGTAAAGAAGAAAGTAGTTATAAAAATACGAAAAAAAATCTTTCACAAATTTAACATTTCGCTGACAGAACATGTACATCCTTCTCCACCAGGGCTATTCGGGCAAGAAAAGATATTACTCTAGTTC